TTTTTACTTCCTTTCTCATTAAAAACCGAGTATTACAATATGAGCTTTCAAATTTTCTACGAAGACAGGCACGGTAATGAAGTTGATGAATACGGTAGACCTGAGCCTATGGACTATATCATTGACGAAGAGCGATATGCTTTAGAAACAGTTAGTTCACACACTCAGTATTTGTATAATCAGCCTCAGGAGAATTATTTCGATGTAGGCTCTATGGCAGATGAAGATGCAAAAGATGACCCAGATGTTTGCATGAAGGAGGCGTAGAGTAAGCGAGCGTACACACTCTATATGGATCAAGACAAAGTCAGATTCTTTAAACTGATGTTTGAGAAAGTTATGAGTGCTTCAGCTGCTGCAAAACAATTAGGTATTCATGTTCGCACAGCTCAAAGATGGGCTCAAATATACAAAACGGATCCTGATAGTGTTTTTATAAAGCATAAGAAAACCGGTCGCTCGCGTATACTTCAAGAAGAACACAAGCAAGTGATCTTGGAGTATACGTGTATACTTACTGAAAATAGCTAACTACTCAATTGATGGAACTGCCAAGTTGACTAAGCATTTATTTACCAAAGAGAATGTGATTATGACCGATCTTTATGAAAAATCTTTTACACAAATAAGGTATTTGCCGCATTATCAAGCATTCAAACCCTGGTAGGCCCAAATATCTTTGTAAGAAGTACAACGATATGAAACGGATACAAGGATTATTAACGAACACTTCAAAGACCATTCAACTCTGCAATGGCAATATTACAGTAAGAGGCTCTCGGAACAAGGCTTTAAGCCAGCAAACCCGTTACGCTTTGAAACTGAACGCGTTTGGGCGCATGCTGCTTCTTTGGCGGTGAAAACCTATGCTACGCAAGAAATTAATATTGATGCTGTAGAAGAAGCATTGGAACGCATCCATAATGCAAAAAAAAAAACAACAAAACAAAGGCCTTCAAAGCAGCCAATAATGCAGTGCTTGACGTCAATTGAAGCAAATGAACACCTGCAGCAAAATATTTTTGATAAAAGCAAGGCAGGAGCCTCAAAGATCGAGAATGATTTGATTTATATGCATAACGAGATATTAACATCAGCGATTAAATCTGACAACAAGAAGACAACAGATATGACTGTTAAGCAGTACACTTTCAAAAACACTGAGATTAAATTTAAAGATATTTTCAATAACCTTTCATGTCTCAAACGCATATGTATTGCAGGATTCCCCTTGCTTTAAAATATTCATAAGTACACTCTTATTCATCGAGCATCTTTCAAAAAATCTAGCTTTTAAAAAATGGCCACTATCTTTTGGAGGGCACCCAGCGTAATCAATCACGTACGTACGAATTTTTTTGGTAGTTACGGTCAAATAAGAAAAATAAATAAACGTGCTGAGGGCTATGTTGACGATTATCTTGTGTATTTCCATCGCAATGTAACGGCCCACCATTGCTATCGCGAGCCAGGATGGGCTCATTGGCGTTGGCACCGTCTGATACAAAGATCTTTCGACAATAATATTGATTTTTAAGTCGTTGGGCCATGCACATAATCAGCTTTGTTCTTGTTGCTTTGTCTTTGCTGTCAGGGGATTTTCGGATGTAGCCAACGTTAGTCTAGTTTTCTTTTGATGCTCGAACGTATGACTTGAAAGAGTTGGCTTTTTCTTCGAGGATCCTTGTAAACAAGGCGAATCACGTTCATATGATTAAGGCAAGCTTTTGCTCTGATCATGATACATACCATACGCACTTGTTTAAGGTAAAAGAGCTCTCTTCCCCAGACCTTGTTACTATCTACTCTTTTTGAGAATTGATTTTCAAAGTGTCCTTTGTACTTGTTAAGTAACAAGCCAAACTGGCATATAGTTGTCGTGTCCTTCAGGATTAGTAGCTCAGCCTTGATGATATCTGCTTTGGTAAATTCTGCAAAGCAGACCCGACAGATAGAATTAATTCTTTGGATTTCCAAAGAACCAATAAATCCGCTGTTCGCCAGAATTTCGATATATCCGATTCGAATGACAAGCTCGAACGATGAAGCCCCATAACCTGTTTTCCTTTGTATGAATGCTATTGGCTTATCCTGATAGAAGAACTTGATTTATCCGCACAGTCGTTCACACGATTTGGATCATGAGTGAATACTGAAAAGCTAGTTACTGAAAACCAGTGTGTTTGCAATAATATAACGGATTCCACAAAAGCAGGTCCCACTTCCTTCACCAATTGCTTAGCTTGGGATGAATCTAATTTAGTTTCTTTATCCATTAGCTTTACATCAAAGTTTTCCATTGATAATAATGTATATATTTTGATCTGAAGCAGCTTATTGCAGAAAAGAGGTAATTGGAAGAAGTTGTACAATTTCTAGATGGGGCTCATCTGGCAACATATGTGAACAATGACTGACAAAAAGAAAAGAAATTCTAGACGTGAATGAAATTCGGAATTGAATGCCATGGCGGAGGATCCTCTATTGTTTATGCTTGTCATTTGAATTTCTGGAAGCTGCTACTTTTTATAGTTTAGGTTATCTGCCCTGATAGAGTTTATCAACCAGTGTTACAACCCAAATCAAGTTTAAATCAATTAAGTTATGTCTGATATGCTGAAGTCGATTAGGCCTCTTCCAACAAAAGAAATTGAACTAGTTGATGTAGTAAGATTACTTTGATGGATCAAGATAGAGTGGCTTATGTTGTTCACGATTCCTTCTTGTAAAAGCAATTGTATTAATAATGATTTCTTTTGATAATTTTGATAACTTGTAAATGGTATAAAAGGATTAGAACTTCAATAAAGAGAACAACAAATTTGAACCCAAAAAGAGTTTTAAATAAGAAAACTAAGTTTTCTATCCGAACAACTTGTCATAGTACTTCTTATGAAGTTAATCGATACTTACACCCGCAAGTTTTAAGTGCTTCATTTAATCAGAACCACCACACAGTATATCGTCATTCCAAAACGCTTTTGTGATCAGAAGAATTCATAAAGAATATATAGGCAAGTTGAAGCAATCGCTAAATGTATCACTCTATAAATATATTTTTAAAAAAAATAAATTATAGTTCTAATGGAAGACTGGCCGCTTCTAACTCGCTATGGTGCTTTAAGCGAATGGTTAAATTTGATTTTGTGTGTATCTAACGACATACTCCGACTCCTTTCTACATCTTTGACAATAAATGCACACAAAAATTTAGTAGCCACGAAATGAATATGAAGTTTGCCCCTATCCTCATATGAAGATTGTTATATTCTACGCGTTTTTCTAGTAACCATACCTGTCATTAATACCAACGACGATCTCACCACACGTATTATTCCTGAATGTGATGATGAAGTTACCACCATTCGCTTTACTAACGGAGAATGGTTCAGCAATATTTCTCAGACTCACGCGAACTAGAACCTTCACCAAAGCTGGGCTAACGAGAAAGCAAAAGCTTTTCTTGGCCAACCTCTTACAGCCCCTTTGAGATTGCATACAATTAAATATCAATGTGACCATGCAGAAAAGCCCAAGAAAAGAAAAGAAAGCGAGGCATCCACCAAGAAAGCCCAGACGAAAGAATCTATCAAGATTGGATGCCCTGCATATATCAACAAGCATCTCCTGACTGACGGTGCAGTAGAAGTAAAGTATGGATGGGGGCATCCTGACCATAATCCATGTGACATGCAAGGGATTGCCTCATCTAGACTTCCTTCCGAAGTGAAGCAGTAGATTGAAGAACATATTAATCAATACATGGATTGGAAGCCCATCAAGAACCTTCTTAGGATGGACGAAGCTTGTCTTTTGCAGGTATGTATTCCTTTATCATTGGAGCTCATGTGATAGTTTCTGGTTCTTGTCTAGATTGAGCAAAGTAGTATCTCTTCCTCTTTTCTTCCTTCATTTCGAATCAGCTATTACGACGTTAGAAACGTCTTCATTTTTAGATTGATGAAATTAAGTAGAAGAGCTATTCGTGACAGGGACAGCGTCCAAATTTGGATGGAAGAGCTGGCCGAAAAAGGAGCAAAGATTTTGTTCAAGGTGCATGAAGATGGCCCGTTTCTTGTTTCTTGCGTTGCTAAATGCAGATGAAGATAAATTTTCTTGATGAAAAGCGCATCTGTATGGTTTACTTTTTTCAAGTAAAGTACAGTGAAAAATCTTAAGAGAAAAAGGAAGAAACGCCAAAATCTACATGTACTACGCTTTTAACTTTTTTATCGTCTTTAAATCAGTAGTTTAAGTTTATTTAAATAATTAAAGGATGAAAGAAGCAGTAATAATAGTAGTAATAATAAAATATTCAAAATGTTTGATTTGAAGAACAATAGCTATACAGCTTTGGCTTTAGCTGATTTAATTCGTCTGCAGCTCCACGATGTGATTGGATATAATCAAGTGTTTCCTTTGCCAAACGAAGTAAAGCGGCTTTAGAGTTCATTGGGTCTTCTTCAATTTCTTCACCGTTCGCCGAAGAGCAGTCATGATCAATGTCTTCTTCTTCTGTTTCATAGTAAAAGCTTGAGGGATTAATAATTTCTCTTTGCTCAGATTCCATGACCCAAGGTTCATGGGTGTCATATACCTTAATAACTGAAGTGGACGAGGAATGTGTAGGCATGATCTGATTCAGAGGAATTTTTTGTGGCATTATTGGAAGCAGAGTAGTAGCATTAGTCGTGACAGAGGGAATTTCAGGGCTTTTAATAGTTTTGAGATCATCGAGTCCTAAACCTAGGGGTACCTCGTCCTTTTTGATCGACTTCTTCACAGTCTTCTGCTTCGGCACGACTTTGGATGTCTCTTGTAAGTATTTCATATTGCTGATAAGCGAGCTTTGTAAGTGAATCAGCACGGGGCTATCCAAAATCTCTTTACTACAGCAGATAATAAACGTGTCAACCTTGCTTTGACAGGCCAGGTACAAGTCTTCTAAGGACTTGACTTGATGAATGGACAAGGTAACCGACCCGGATTGAAACACGATTTGTACAACCGAGAAGCAGTAGCAGTTTTTTGGTAACTGCATGAACTGAAACTTGAATTCCTTTGGCTTCTGATACTTGATGACCGATGATGAACCAGCACGATCGGTATGAATTGCCCTCCGTTTTAATTGCTCCAATGGGTTGCGAAACCAATTACCGAGTATTGGCGATCGACCCATATAACTGCTAGTAGGTGTCGAACTAGAGGGCCGTAAGATGATATTTACAGGTGAAGGCTGACTATTTACATGCGTTGATTTGCCCCAGGATCTTGAAAAGAATGAACTGCTGGTAGGTAAAGCTAAGAACAGACCCTTCTTCTCTTCTTGCATTGATGAGAAAGGTGAGTGCGATTTAAATGAAGGCTTTGATTGAGACATGATGAATACAAATTTACATAGACATAAAGTAAAAGAAAGAAAAGGGAAAAGAAAGAGGATCGCTTTACTCTAACAAACAATGAGCTTCAAAATTTAAAGCACAACAAAAAAATCTCATGACATTTTTGACCCGATCCTTGTTCTCACTTTCTTTTCAATGCCTAATTATCATTCAATTAGACTTTTTATTCTTGTATTGTCTTTATTGAGGATTAGCATTAGGTATTACTTACTAGCCGTAGTACGCTTGACATGGATTAAGGTTATTAGAGAATAGGGGAATAAAGACAAGTTTTTAAAGTGTGCGTCAAGTTAAAAATAGTGGCACCACTATATTTTATCTATTCGGAAATATGCAAACATATGTAAACTTGAACACTTGTTTACATTCATTATCTATACAACTCTTTTAACAGTACCCCATGGGTCATATATGCTCCAATAGAAAGCCTCATGTCGTATATTACCTTATACTTCAAAGGGCAGCTAAACTCATGAAGTATGCTCTTAACAAATGTACTTAAAGCATGACAGCTATATCCAAAGTATCAGTGTCAATCCTCGGTGATAATCTTTTATACAAATAACAGATCTGATACAAACAGTTTTTTTTAGGAAGCATCAGACTTTTGAATAATACACTTTTTTGGGCTCTCGAAACTGTATCAACTTGTAGGACTTTGAAAAAAAAGAGGCCAATTTCATTGATTTCATTGTCTTTCTTTTTATTCTCGTTTGACATTAACAATCATGTCACATTTACAAAGAATCGAAGAATTAGTCGAAGGTCTAAATAAAAGCACGATTGAAAGTGGCCCTAGTATAAAGAATATGGGAGACACAAAAGAAATAGCAATAGAAATTGGAAGTGAAGTCATGGATTATGTATCCTTTAAGGACATTGGTACATATTCTATCAGCTTTTGTTCTTTTAATTAATATATCATAGACTACGTCTGCTCAGTATTATTCAGCTCAGATAAAGGCATCACACGCTTTCTTAGAGAATTTGCCGCGTCAAAGGACTACGATATCATTTCAGCACAAGTAGTTTTATTAGGCTTCATAACAACGTTTATAAAGAAAGCAAAGTCATCCTTACAGATTTACGCTTCGGATATAAAAGTAAGTCTTGAGTTATTTTTGGATACCTGGAGTTTAACATGATGATCAGGGCTGTTGTGTCCAACTGGCAGCAACAGGAAGTGCAAGAGTTCGTACTGTGGCAATTGACGCTCTTATCGCAATGCTTGATACGCGTATAAGCCATCTGGATACATCAGATTTGAATATTGCTAGTATCTATAGACGCTTTTCGGACATGTATACTTTACCACCCACAAGGTTACCTGTGTCCGTCAAAGCCAAAGTGATTGAGCTGCTAGGAACAATAGCAAGGTTTTATCCCAACCTGCTGAATCAAAATGATCCACAGATCCTAAAAAGATGGTGTCTTGATTCCTTGGACTACATCTTGAATAATACATCTAATGACTATGCATTTATCTCTGGCGCAGTCAATTGTCTAAACACCCTCATATCTTCTAAGAACCACCTAATTGAACCTGAGTCTCGAGAAAGTGATCGATTGTTTAATATTCTTTTGAAGCTACTCTACATTCCACCTGACATCAATCGATATGCAGATACAATCGCTGCTTTAGAGCTCTTTACCTCACACACACATCTCTTTACAAATTTAATTCTGCCAAACTGTGAAAAGCTCTACAAGTTCCTGCAGATCTGTTCCACGCACCAAAACAGGCTTGTATTTAAGTATGGAACATTTGCATATGAAAAGTTCTTGATCGCCGTAAGATTGTCTTGTTCTAATATATCAAGCATAATTTCTTACTCACATATTGATCTAGTTGACAGAGATTCTTTGTAAAAACCTTGATGGTGACCGAGAAAGATCGGTATTCTTGGTAAATAGTTGCACTTAACAAGATTGTTTTCTTATAGTGACATGTATAGTTTTTTATGAATGACTTTATGCAATCACTTGAACTCGGTAATGACTTGGAACATTTTTATCAAACTTCTGCTGCAATTCGAGGCATTGGTTACTTTTCAAAAGTATGTGCTCACATGCTGAGCAAGGAAGAGATTGATAAACTTTGTGCAGAATTAGTAAGAAAAAGCAACTGGTTTTATTCTGAGTACAGTATTACTTGCTTTATAACTCTGTTTATACTAATGAGTGTTCCCCTCCTTTTTTTTTTAGCATGAATGCAGAACAGCATGAATACTTGCGACATCTGCCTTCCTTCCTCCGAGCTTATTCTTCCTTTGCAGGACAGCTAGAATCAGTACCCAATGAATTAATAGTATCACTCTATCACATGTGTGATATATTCATTCTGAGTTTTGTACGCATGAGTGGATATCATAGAGTTCAAGGCTCAGCAGCCATTGTGGGCTTGCTTGATATGCTCTATCAGAGAGGCGAAGGTGTACTCCGTAAATTCTTGAATAGATTCAGTAAGTGTTTCTTTTGGACTCTTCTTTTTGATCAAGAGAACATTAACATATTATAGTTGATAAGGCGTTGATTTATACTTGTATGGACGTTGAAATGCCAGATGGGGGAACAAGACATGCTTATCTGGACCTGTTATACTTTTGGGAAACATTACTTGCGAAAAAGTCAGCGAAAAGATTTATTACCAATCCAATATCTCTGACAGAAGATGAAGACTCTAATGAACTGGTAGAACAAAGCGAGCCTGATGAAGCAGCCATGCCTCTTGATCCAGAACAGCCTCAAAGCTCTTCTTTACCGTTTTTACAAGTGCTTTATGACATGTTCTTTTCTTCTTTTCTTCACATGATGAAGTCATTCAACTTGAGCTTGAAGAATACAGAAGCTGATGATGCAGAAGCGACCAACTTGAACAGCATTACTAATACGTTGCGTCCGATAAACCAAAAGGATTTTTTGATATTTCAAAATTTTATCGAATTCTGGTGCATGCTTCTCAAGAAGTTAGAGAACGAAAGATTGTTTGATTGTATGTACATCCTGGGTACATCTATTATTGATCAAAGCATTCAGCATCCTTTGGTTAGTGGATTTTATAAAATGCTAGCAGAAATGCTTGCCATCGCAAAGAAAAACCATATATTTGATAACTGTAGAAAGCATTATCTCGACAATGAGCTTATGGACGAAAGAGGGGAAGAAAAGGTATGGAGTATAAAGAAGGGAAAAACGCGGTATTGATTCATTATTGTTGTAGCAAGATGTGTACGTAACCTACTTGGCATTTCAAAGCTACGTGAAGGAAATTTGGTACAGGCTCCAGCAGTTCACTGATGACCTTTTAGCTTCTTGTTTACGGCTTGTGTTGATTTATGCTACAGCATTCTTTAGTGTGGAAGAACTCATTTCTCCTCTTGAAAAGGCCTTACATTTGGGCATTACCTATAACCCTTTAGCAGTTGTTGCCATGGATACCCTGGATGAACTCCTAGCCTCTAAGGCAGAGTATGAAATCGACGATACCTTCTTATCCCGCATTTTGCCTTGTATCAATGAATATCTTTTGATCGGTATGGTAAATACAAGTGAGTACGAGGACAGTAATGGCATCGACGGTCTGAAGAAACGGCCTTATAAAGTGCTTACAGCAGCTCAACGTCGATATGAAGCCGTCAAAATAACTACTAGAAAATCCGAACTTGGTGTAGCTACCAGCGAGTATACTTCACTTCAAGAACTTCAACTGCGAATGATGCGGTTTCTGGGCCGTTTGGGGGGTAAAAACAAACAGTTACTGATAAATGATAAAGACGGCATGCAAAAGAACGATATGTTAGCTTGGGACCCTGTGAAGCGATTGAAAATACATTTACCTTTTCAAAATGCAAAAGTTAATATCTATATAGGTATGTATCATAAGTATAGCTGTAATATGAGTATTAACATTATATGATTAGATGAATTCCTTCCTCGTATTTGTGAATTGGCAGAATCTTCGCCAGATAGACGTGTTAAAGTGGCAGCATGCGAATCTCTGCACAGTCTTATCATTTTGATGTTAGGAAATAGTGCACTGCAAATCAGGAATACAAGAAATTCAACAGAGACCAACTACTACAAGCTCTATGTTCGCATATTTCCTATTGTGTTACGTCTGGCTATCGACCCTGATCAGGTAGCAAGGGGCATGTTTCGACTTTTAAATTCCCAAATCATCCATTGGTTTACCAATAATGCCTATTATGAGAATCCAGAAACAACAGCGTTATTACAAGCACTGCTAAGCGCCTCTTGTAACTCGGATGCAAGCTTACGAGATTACGGAGCAGAATGTATTCAAGAATTTGTAAAGTGGTCTATCAAACAGACTTCAAGAGTCACGGATGGAGCACAAAATATTAAATCTTTACTAAAGAGATTATACAACCTCATGTCACATCCAAGCGCTATTCAGCGATTTGGAGCAGCTCTAGTATTCAATCGTATCTATCGACTTTTCAGAGAAGAATCCGTACTAGTGAACGAATACACTCTAGAGATTTTAGGACAACTCTTCTTTAGCTTAAAGCTATCAGATTCAGATCACCCCTCCATGGGCACTCATGATCAGATCATTGAAGCAATCTCACATGTGAAGCGTATCTTGCGCGAAAAAACCTCGATTTTTTTGGAAAGCAATCCAATTAGAAGACCATTTCTGGGTGATGACAAAGTCTGTGATCTTTCTTCTGTCGTAGCATGGGCTTTCTATGAAAGCGGAAAGCACCAGCGCGCTTATGCTAAAGCGTGCATAGATTTCTTTAGTGAATTTGTTCTGAAGCTTCCTGGTAAGTCAGTTTATAAATACTGTAGCTAATACTGACTTCAAATAGCTGTAGAAACCGGGAAACAATGGTTATTGAAACAAATGAATCAAGACCCATTCTTTTTGACAAACATATTCGAAACAAATAATTTACAGCCTCCATCAGTTTTCATCTTGGAAGAAAAGCTAATAACCACTTATTTGTCCTGGATCAGTCAACTGAATGTCACGGTTGATGGATATATTTGGTTAACTGAAAGGGATGTTATAGACCCTGTGGAGCTATTATCTCAAGGATCATCTGTATTTCTAGAGGCAATATCCTACTTTATTCGCAATGCGCCTGAAGATGTGTTGCAAGACAAGATCGAGCAAAATACCATTGAAAAAACTAAAATACAATCTCTTTATTGTTATATTTCTGCAAGGTTAGTCTACTTGTTTGATTTGCTCATCAAATCTCCGGAGAATGGGACTACTTGCTTTTCATTGATAAACAACAACGCTTCAGATATCTTCCTCCATGAACGCTTTGCAGACGTAGTTGCTAATATCCTTTTATTTCCGAAAAAGTTATCAGAGGATATAGAAGCTAGTCAAAGAAATAATGTGACTAACTCGAGTACAAGCAGAATCTTTCATCTTGCCAAGCATTTTATACTTACAGCACATGAAAAATCATATACAGCCCTTGTAGACAGTATTATTCAATCGATGGCACGAATCACCATTAACAGTGATACAAGTCTTGCCATAAGCTTAGATGATAGTAGAGGTAAGACATGATGTACGTATTTGTGGTCAATACTTACATTTTACAAGGTCGGTCATCACTTGTTGCAATGATTGGTACGGCTGAAGCTATAGAGTTTGTGCAATCCATTGGCCTACTGGACTTGTTATGCCAAAAAGCCAACGAGATAGAAAAGAAGCACCCGAGCACTTCGACTGGCTACTGTACTACACTGTTTAGTCATTACTTGACATATCATAAAGTAAACACAGAGCCTCTATGGACCGAACTACTGGGGAAAATGATTTCTATATCATTTGCACAGCCAGAACTTGCGGTTGAAGAGACATCTATTTTTTTGGTAAGGAGTCAAGAAACTTCACATTACGGAAACTACAATCAATCTATCATTTAGGGCTTCTCAGGAACTGGTGATATTTCAGATGCAGAAAAGCTAAGCAACTTTCAAAAATATAGACAGCGTGTAAGTAATGCAAAAGCAGTGAAAAAAAAAACTACTACTACAGCAGAAGCCCCTGAAGTTGTCAAAAAGGAAGAAGAGCCTGAGAAGGAGGAGCTTAAAAAGGATGAACAGGAAACAAAGAAAG